GGATGATATGTGAGAGAGTTAATGAACGGTACGAGGACTTTGATTTTTTTTTTTTCAACGATTAATTTTGTGCTCGGGTTTTAGAAATTGTTTTTTGAGCATAGGCTTTTCTTTATTTTCTTGGAGAAAACAGAAAGTCCGTATATACATATTCACCATATGTTGGAAATTATTGTACTAACAAACCATCTCTTCGTTGCTGTGTGAAGCTATGTAGTCATTTGGATGAATTCTTATGGGCGCTCTCAAATTTCAGCTTCTAAGCAACTTAATTTGTTACTTTGACTGTCATAAACATGAAAATGCTCCATGGGACGTGTCATGAACTCTATGACTTAAAACTTTTGTAACCCTCTCGTTTCATAAGTTCCAGCATATGTTATCTGTAGCCTTGTGAAAGTGCTATCCTTATCGAGAACTCACCTGACATTATAGTTTTCACATTTAAAGGAAATCAGGAATTATATTTCCTTTTCCCTGCGAATTACACCTCTGCAGATTCAAAGAAAATTAAAGCTTCGTAAAGAAGAGCAAGGACTTGTGTCCCAACTGATGCTGGTTGAGTTTTATTTTGTCGCAATTGAATTATTGATGAATCAAATCTTGCAAAATGTAGAACTTTAAACGAATTATACTCAATGATATGTTTTTTACTTCAAAGTCAATCTTAACGTTCAGTTATACATAAACTCTCTTACCAACATAAAATAAAAATTGTCACATCATAAAAAATGATAATTCAAGCAAGCGCTGCTAAATAATGTGAATAATAAATTGTAACCCGAAGGTAAGCCTGTAACTCTTTCATGATTTTTCGTGAAGGAGCACCGAACTAAAATAATAAAATTTACAAATAATGACAAATTTGAAAAGACGTGAAAAATTCATTTATAGCAATGAGCATCGAACTAAAATAATAAAATTTACAAATAATGACAAATTTGAAAAGACGTGAAAAATTCATTTATAGCAATGAGCATCTCACGTTAAATTAAAAAATATAGGTACTTGAGTAATAAATTTCAAATCGCTCACACCTCTTTATGATCGTCCAAAAGCTTTAAAAATATCTATACATATCCT